GAAGCAGGCTCCAGGCTCTGAGCCATCAGTGCAGAGCCCGACATGGGGCTTGAACTCACCGACCGCGAGATCGTGACCTGAGTTGAAGTCGGACGCTTAACTGACTGAGCCACCCAGGCGCCCCACATTTTGCCAGTTTTAAATTCAGTGGACTCAGGGCTAAAATAGCAGTGCTTTTAGAATTTTGAGTACACGTGAAGAATATACCTTTTCGTCTCAAATAGAATCATTTTATATTTTTACAGTATACATGAAAGGCATTGTTGTTAGTATGATTACTGGATTAAAGTATCCACAGTCTGTGTTGCTTTGGAAAATGCTTATAATTTTATGCTGTGATTGCCAAGGTCATGGTTAGTTGGTTTCCATTAACAGTCAACGTAACTCAAAATCTAGACTTTGAAATGCAGAAGATGAAAATTCTTGATTCTTAGAAATATATTTCATTCATAGAGGGTATTGCAGCAAGTTTTGATTTGGATAAATATCTAAATACGTGAATGAAGATATAAATTTATTTGAACTTTAGCACAGAGGGGCCAAAAGGAAATGAAGCAGAAAGCTTCATGAGATGACTCTTATTTCCTGTTTCCAGCATGGTGAAATATTATGAGAACAGTCTTCTAAACGATGTTGGAGCTTGCAACTTCTTCTTACTATTCTACTTAATTCTCTAAAGTAGTGAGCAGCTCATGAACTACTTAAGTTAAAGAGCAAGTATTATGTCAGGAAAAGAAATTGTAAGTGTTGTCTCTGTGAGATCATGAGACTGTTTAAAGAAAACTACTCTTAATCCTGGCTTCCAGAAATGAATTATTAAAATAAGCCCAGTATTAGATTTCCTGAAGATAGCGAAGAATCGAATGTACAAACTTTTTTTTTAACAATTTAGGAATAAGTATCCTTGAACAGTATTTAAAAATTGTATTTGAATGACTTACATAGAGTCAGTAAAGGTAATTCCTAATTTCAGTGAAGTTAACTCATCTTTGTATCTCAGTAGATATTGTGAGTTTATATGCAATTCAACAGCTAGGTAATGTAAGTCCAATTCAGATTCCGAAAGATCTACATCTTGTACTGTTTTTTTTAACAGATTTGACTCTGAGAAAACTTGATTCTGTTTCATACTAGCTGTTAAAAATTCTCTGAGAGGCCAAGTCAATTACAACAGCCACCAGACAGATTTGATTCTTGGTTGATTCCTACCCTCCCCTCCCCATCCAGCATTTTGTTCCTTAGAGTCCATCCTGGACCAGACCAGGATTTCTAGAGAATTTGGTGTGGTCATGTATCTGAAGTTTGAGGTTTGGCTGCAGTGAGGTCCATAATCATTGGAATAAGCAAAACAGCTTAGCCTGGACTTTTGATATTGATTGTCAGTTTACCTAAAAGGAAACTTACCTTTTCATCTAAAATATGTTTATGTATGTGTGTGTGTCTAAGTGTAGTTGCCACTATCTGAGACAGTTTTTGTGCCTGTGAATGTTTTTAGTCTTCTAATAGTATACTAAGTCGAAAGACCAGAAATTTTTGCCAAGAAAGAATATAGTAACCTATGTGAGGGTGTAGGTGAGTATGGGGAATGAAGGTAACACTGAGAAAGCAGAATGATGAGAAAGCAAGCCTGGAGGTGAGTTGCTTCAGAGGCCGGTACAGAGCTGGGACACGTGGGCAATTCAGGAGAGGTGGCCCCGAGTTGGAGACCTGTCGGCACCGGATGTCAGGAATTTATTGGGAGGGCAGCGTCACTTGAACTTGAAAGCCAGAGAGTCTAGAAAGAAAATCCCCTGATGGGACCAGAAAAAGAGTTCTAGTTTGGACTGATGGGTGGAGGGAATTGTGGCACCAGAAGTCAGAGGACATGTGATAACATATAAACTCATTGTCCATGTATAATTCCCCAGCTTTTAGAGACTTAAACCCCGAGAACAGTGGGAAATGTGGTTTGGGAACTTTATACAGTGGACAGTGTGTGAAGGAAGGGACCCTGCCCTTTGGAGGAAGGTAATCGCAAAGATGAAAAGACTGGCGTTTCTTGGTTACAGTCCCTAAAAGGAGACAACAGAAATCAGTCATCACAGACCACTGGAGAATCTCTTTGGACCCATTTTCTTTACCCAGAAAGCAAATTGGAGGAAGACTTAACTCCGACCATCGCAGAAGTCCCCAGCCTCCCATGTCATTTCTCAGGGCTCCACGAGATCCTTTAACTTTCCTACAACCCTACTTGCTTGTACTCCATGAGCAGTCACCTTAGGCCTTGAGAGCTTTGTGTGATCTGAGTAGATTTTTTGTGCTCAGTGGCTCTGTTAGTCAGTGCTTTTGGGTTGCTCTAAAACCCTAAAGCAAGTGTTGGCAATGTGCCCAAGGTGGCATTCCACTTGTTCATTTATTACCTCATGGTGGGGGGTGGGACTGGAAGCCACCTGCCTGTCATAGTGTGAGAAATGACAGTGTTGACATTTGCCCCCTTACACACCTGAGGGCACAGGTATCATCACTCACACCTGAGGAAGGCTTCCTGCTCTTGGACAGTGGCACCAGTGCACAGACTTCAGAGAAAGCAAGATTTGGGCGACTGGTCTTCTAACCTCAACTGCCCAAAATGAGGGTGTGTGTTGAATTCTGCTGACAATTAATAGTTGAGCTGTTCCCAGACCTTGGTATGGAAAATCAGAATGAAGACAGCTCAGTGAGAAACAGATTCCATGGTAAACCAGTTTGGAAAACGTAGCATTCAGGATCCTTCTCCAGAATTCCACAATGCACATGATCCTCTGATAAACCCTTTAAAAAGAAACCCATTTCACTTCCTCTAGTTCACTGTGACTCTAAATTCAGTTGACTTTGGACCTCATTTCCCCTGAATATCTATCAATGTTCCTTGGCACACAGTATTAAAAGATCAGGTTCAGGGAGGCAGATGCTGGGAGGGCCCACAGGCTGATAGGTAGACACCAAAGAATAAAACCACCGAAAACAAATCTTGTCCTCCTTTGAGCTAAGAAATCTTCGTGTACCTCAGGTAGCCAGCTTCTTTTAGCAGTTTACCTTTCAGAGTTACGAGTGAAATCTATGAATACAACTGTGCCCTGAAAAAGCTATCTTTCTTGTTATCAAATCCTTACGTTAGCTGCTTAGGGTTTTTGTTTTTTAATGCTTATTTATTTATTTTTAAGGGAGAGAGGGAGCATGAATGGGAGAGGGGCAGAGAGAGAATCCTAAGTAGTCTCCACACTGTCAGTGCAGAGCCTGACATGGGGCTTGGTCCCATGAACTGTGAGATCCTGACCTGAGCTGAAACCAAGAGTCGGACTCTTAATGAACTGAGCCATCCAGGCGCCCCTAGCTGGTTAGTGTTTTAACTGAGTTGAAGAGTCATTAATTTAGTCTAGTTGTGAGCAGACCAGTCGGATTTGGAAATATTTTGGGGGAGAACAGTTCTTTTAAACTTTGAAAATACTTTTGTGGGGCACCTGGGTGGCTCATTTGGTTGAGTGTCCGACTTCAGCTCAGGTCATGATCTCACAGCTCATGAATTTGAGCCCCACATTGGGCTTTGTGCTGACACCTCAGAGCCTGGAGCCTGCTTCTGATTCTGTGTCTCCCTCTCTCTCTGTCCCTCTCCTCCTCATGCTCTCTTTCTCTCAAAAATACATAAACGTTAAAAAAAAAAATACTTTTGTAAAGCTACCAAGTTATTTTTGAGTTGAATTACTGTGTATGATACAGTCATCGTGTATAAATGATTGCTTTAAGAAGATAGTTCTGACATGTTGTTGGCTGTATTACTCAGCAAAATTTTCTTCTTCCTGGTGATAACCTTTAAGCACAGTTCCTATTATATCTGAATTAATGACATGTCATTGAATAGAAAGCACAAATGTTTTATTATTTTTTAGTTTTTACATTTTTTGTTTTTATTTAAAATCAGTGTTAACATACAGTGTAATGTTAGTTTCAGGAGTACAGTACAAGGATTCAGCATTTCCATACAACACCCCGTGCTCATCACAGCATGTGCCCTCCTTAATCCCCATCACCCATTTTACCCATCCCCCAGCCTCCCCTCTGGTAACCAACAGTTTTTTATCTATAGTTAAAAGTCTGTTTCTTGGTTTTCCTCTCTCTTATTTCCCCCATGATCATTTGCTTTGTTTCTTAAATTCCACATATGAGTGAAATCATGTGGTATTTGTCATTCTCTGACTTATTTCCCTTAGCATTATACTCTCTAGCTCCATCCATGTTGTTGCAGATGGCAAGATCTCATTCTTTTTTATAGCTGAATAGTATATGCATTCATCAGTTAATGGACATTTGGGCTCTTTCCATAATTTGGCTCTTGTTGATATTTGCTATAAACGTCAGGGTTCCTGTATCCCTCCAAATCAATATTTTTATATCCTTTGCGTAAATTCCTAGTAGTGCAGTTGGATCATAAGATAGTTCTATTTTTATCTTTTTGAGGAACCTCCATACTGTTTTCCAGAGTGGCTGCACCAGTTTGCATTCCCACCGACAGTGTAAGAGGGTTCCTTTCTCCGCATCCTCACCAGCACCTGTTGTTTCCTGTCTTATTAATTTTAGTCATTCTGACCGGTGAAAAGCACCCATATTTTAAAATGTTTCCGGGGCGCCTGGGTGGCGCAGTCGGTTAAGCGTCCGACTTCAGCCAGGTCGCGATCTCGCGGTCCGTGAGTTCGAGCCCCGCGTCAGGCTCTGGGCTGATGGCTCGGAGCCTGGAGCCTGTTTCCGATTCTGTGTCTCCCTCTCTCTCTGCCCCTCCCCCGTTCATGCTCTGTCTCTCTCTGTCCCAAAGATAAATAAACGTTGAAAAAAAAAAATTAAAATGTTTCCAAAAATTATTTACTCCCAGGTATAAAGACATCCTGACACATTATTAGTGGATCTTCTGCCCCCAATTTCCTTCCTCCAAAATTTTTTTTTTTACAGATTTCTGCTTAATTTACAAATACGGTTTGTTTCATTCACAGAGGCCAGCAAGCTTGTTATGTCCTACGTAGCAGCAGTTTGTGGAAAAGGAGCAGAAGTGAACCAAGTCAAAGAACAGCTTTTACAGTCCAATCCAGTCCTGGAAGGTAGGATTTCCTGTGCACACTGGGTCAGTGTGACTTGAACAGTAGATCCAGCCTGCAGGGCCCTTCAGGTACCTGGTGGGCTGGGAGGTGGGCTGCAGGGGAAGAGGAGGGAAGAGATTCAGGCCCTGACCTGCCAAGCAAGTGAGCTGTGTCCTAAGAACTCTTGCCTTCAGGTGCTTCCAGGAGGAAACCGTTCACTCATCCAAAAGGAGCTTTTCCACTTACAGTCACTTTTTTCCATTTCAATTTTTATTTGACTCACTTTGACTTTGCCTAAAAATAATCAACTGATGTTTGCGTTTGATTTGATGGCTAGGAAAAACTTGGTGAAAAAGAGCAGCATGAGCACGGTGCTATTTTATCATTCAGGATAGCATACGTGAACGCTTATTTCTTTTGTTAGAAAGACTGTGCCAGAGAAACAGCTAAAGAATAGTTTTTTTTGAGGGTCACAGAAAGTCTAAACCTGACTTTAGAGTTCAGATTCTATGGTTGGCCATCTGTGTTAGTCAGGTTGGGCTGCCATAACAAAATACCAAAGGCTGGGTAGCTTAAATGACAGGAATTTATTTCTGGACTTCAGGAAGCTCAGAAGTCCAAGATCAAGGTGCTGGCAAAGTAGGCCGCTTGGCTTACAGGTGGCCACCATCTTGTTCTGTGCTCACATAACCTTTTCCTTGTGTGTGGCGGTTGGGGGCAGGGACCCTGGCTGGCTCTTGACCTCATCTAACCCTAATTACTTCCCGAAGGCCCCAGCTCCAAATACCATCACATTGAGGGTTAGGGCTTCAACATAAAAATATACATACATGTAGCTCATGCAACCATCAGAAAAAGCCAGAGGTGAGCCCCTAATGCCATGGAAGTTGGCATAAAACATAGGTATAAACCGTTCTTTGCTTTGGAAACAATAAACCAGTCTTTCCCTATTGATGGCAAGCCCTTAATGTTGCTTTATATTATACGCATGTCTTTGTTGTCACTTAATACAGTTGTTGGGATAGAATAGGGTTTCTCAACCTCATTTGGGACTGGATCAGTCTCTACTACAGAATGCTGTCCTGTGCATTCACTGGAAGACGTTTAGCCGCATCCCTGGCCTCTACCCACTAGGTGCCAGGATCACCTCTGCCCCCAGTCATTGCCATTGAAAATGTCTCCAGACATTACCAAATGTCACCTGGCAGGGAAGGGTCAGAACCATGCCTGGTTAAAATCTTTGGTCTAGAAGAGTAGGTTGGCTCGACTCTTTGTTCAAAGTCACGGAGGGTCAAGGCTTAACAGGGATTAAAGCAGAGCTGCCTTGGGGTGAGTCGGATACCCCCTCCCCAGTGTGGAGGGACAGAACCTTGCCTGTTGTCTTTATTTCCTAGACCCAGCCCCTCTTTCCTGCTTTATTCCAAGGAGATACCAGGCATCTTTATCCCTGCAGAAAGTGAAATAAGACTACTGAAAATACTTTAGCCTGTGAAAAGCAAAGGCTGAAGCATCTATTTCATTGTCACCGACCTTTCTTCCTCGTCAGTACCTTAATGAATAAAGAAGCTATTATAGAAAGTGCTGTTACCTTCATTTTATTTGGCTTTTTGTTTGCTTTGTCTTTTGCTTTTAAGTGAGGGTGATATACATGTATTTCTGTATTTGTTTACTTTAAGAATGCTGTGATATAAAGGAGAAGCACTGTGGAATGCTCTAGCTTGCATCTGTGATTAGAATCTGACCCTTTATTTGATGGTATTTGGAACTAGGCCCCAGTGCAGGAAATGGAAGAAATGTCTGCTGTGGGCATGTATTATCTTTTATGGGAATGCTTTACTTTTTAACTGGAACTGCTACTGTAAATGAACATTTCAAACAATGAACTTAAAAAAACAATTGAGGAATGTGTCTCAAGTGTTCTATAATGAAACACTTGTTTTTGATCCTGTGGCTCACAATAAAAGACCTTAGTGTTTAGCGCTGTGTGTGCAACTCAGATTTGTTTGATGAAAAGATGGTTTTATGGTGTGCAAATGGCGCCCTGAATAAAGTTTTTTGAAGCAATTCCTTCACTTGCCCTTGACCTTCAAACCACAATAAACTGTCCTTTATACATCAGCATCTCAAGTTCTCAAGTTGGACTTTGGGCTATGCAAGTTAGTTAACTTGGCAGGCCTGCGTGTTCACACCCACCAGGAAGACTAGCCTGTGCAAACATGAACGATGTCATGGTCTTCATGACAACTAGAGCAGCGCTCTGCATTTTCAAGGTTGCATTTATGAATGCCTCTCAGCTCGTGGTAGACATGGATAATGATGCGATTCTCTTCAGTTAGCATCCTCTTTTGAGTATTTCCTGTGTGCAGGTTTCCCCACTCAGTAGAGCATCTCAGCTTATTTTCTACTGAAGAGAGAAGTTGGCATCTGGGACCTGCCAGGCGGTTCCCGCCCCAAGCAGAATCTCTGATACAAAGAACTTTCCCTGTGTTGACTTTGTACATTTTGTCTGAAGTGAGCAGGAACCAACTATTTTTAAAAAATCAAAAACCTGAAAAAGCCAGCTAACATGAAATAGAACTCATCAGGTTTGGTTAGTGAGTATCCCAAGTGAACTTCGACTTTATTATTTTTTTAAATGTTTATTTTTGAGGGAAAGAGAGAGAGAAAGAGAGAGAGCCAGAATGAGTTGGGGAGGGGCAGAGAGACAGAGAGAGAGAGAGAGAGAGAGAGAGAGAGGGAGGGAGACAAAGAATCCGAAGCAGGCTCCAGGCTGTCAACATAGAGCTGATGCAGAGCTTGAACTTGTGAATCATGAGATCATGATCCAAGCTGAAGTCGGATGCTTAACTGACTGAGCCACCCAGGCGCCCCCAAATGAACTTCAACCTTAAACACAGGTCTGCACCTAGATCATGTGACTGCTTTCAAAACTTGGATCAGCTTTTAACTCTTAGTAATCATTTGAGCTCTTGTTACTCCTTTCTTCCCTCCCTTTAATTTAATGCACTTATGGGGGGGGGGTGTCCCAGGGATTTGATGCCTGGCCTCTTAATCCAAAGATTTATTTCGGGTTGCCATCTCACTGTGTGCTCTTCAGTCCTTGCTAGCTGCAGTGGGCCCATGGATCCTAGTAATAGCCTGGGGGTGGGGGTGGGCGTGGGGGTAGTAATGGTAGAAATGCAGAATTTCATGCCTACCTCCAGGCACATTTAACAGGATCCGCAGGTGCCTGTTTGCACGTTGAGGTTTGAGGTACACTGCTGGGCTTCCAGAGCATCAAAGTGGGATCCCTCTGCTCTTACACCTTATATTTATCCCATGTGATCCTCAGATTAATTTGCCCCTCCCTTGTGCGCAAGCTTGGTGAAACACCCCTTTCTCCTTATGACACTATGAGCCAGAGGTATCGAACAGGATCATTCTGTGCCTGAGCGGCATCAGCCTGTGGTTCTTACATTTATGTGCCTTCATTTTCTTAAAAGGGACCCCTATGGGAGGTCGGGCTCCACACAGCAGCTAATGTTGGAACAGACTTGGATTCTGCGTTATGGGCCAGTTTGGTGTTTTTTCTTTTCTGGAAAGTTTTACTTAGGTCTGATGGATGTGGACTAATGAAACTATGTAGCATTTTTAGCCTATTGGAAATGATGTTAGTTTCCAAATCTCTTACTCTTTCTGTGTTTCGCAGTTATATATGTAATCACATTGATATAGATTTGTTTTAAAATTAATGAAAATTCAAGTTTATTGTGCTTTTTTCCATCTGGGAACCTCATCAAGTTCCCCAGAACCTTTGATAATATTACGTAGATGTCTCTGAAATAACCTTATTCACCGATGAAAATAGTGGAAGAGAATACAAGCCATTTTTGCCAGCCACTCAATTGACTGCTCTCAAAGCGGTAAAGGTATTGAATTATACAGGATTACGGTTATAGTAATATTTGAAAAAATTCCATGAATCAGAGGAATGACTCTCTTTTTTCTGTGAACTTATGATAAGAGATGGTGGATATAACAACTTATTTTTTTTGAATCTTTTTTTTTTTTGACGTCTTAGCAACTTCTTAAGACTTCTGTTAAGTATGTTTCTATGGGAAGTTTGGACGGAAATGTCATTGCTACAAGTTGTATTTTCTAGGATTTATAGCTGTCAAATATTCCATTCGCTTTAAACTGCTGCTTGAAATTATTTTTCTGTCAATTTTACCCACGCATCTGTTTCTTTCTTACTAGCTTTTGGAAATGCCAAGACTGTAAGGAATGACAACTCCTCTAGATTTGTAAGTATTTGTATAAGCATAAGTGTTAACACTAATATTTAGGTCATGTATGTTTAAACAACCAGTAGATGTTTAGTGTTTCTTCATATACACATTTGAAAAATGAGAACACCATTGCTATTGAGACACAGAAAGCTCTATAAGGCCTATTTTTGCCTTCTGGGGTTTTTCTTTTTAATTCTTTTTGGATGACAGCTATTTCTTTCATATTTTCTTGTCTTCTATCATACAACCCTGTGGGCAATTTAAATGAGGCTATTTATTTATTTAAAGGAGGCTCTGTGCCAATGTGGGGCTCGAACTCACGACCCTAAGATCAAGAGTCGCACGGTCCACTGACTGAGCCAGCCAGGCGCCCCTAAATGAGGCTATTTAGAATAACTCTTTACTTATCTGAATTTTGGTATTTAGAAATCACCATTAAGAATCAGATTAAATGAAGTAGAAGGAAGGATAAACTGGGTGTCAAGCTTGTATACAGCTTTTGTCCTTTATTCAGTGGGACTGGAGAGGATGGAAGGGTGTACTAGAACTTTATAGAAGGAAGGTCATTAGGTTTGACGACCAACGGCAGGGGATGGGGAGGGGGACTGGTTGGTCAAAACTGCCGCTAATGGATGTTTTGGCTTTGGCTGAGGTGGGAAATGCTAATTCCAGGAATACAAGCCTTCCTGGGCTCACGCCCCAGCACTCTGCAGCACGTACTATGCACCGCGGCCCACTGGGGTCTCTCCAGCTGTACACGTGCCGTCCTGTGTTTGGTCATTACGGGGACCCAGGCACTGCCTGGTGGCAGCTGGGAGATACATGTTGAGTGTGATGGTGACATTTTTAAATTGGCCCCTTTTTTCTATAGTTTAGCCAGCTGTATACATTTTATAATAAAAGGTCATCTACTTTATAAGCTCTCTTCTCATATACATGGGACCATTTGGGGTGGTTTTTGTGCCTCTCTGTCGGAGACTCTTCCTGCCCTTTCTCCCCCACTACTTTTAGCCTCCTTTTTGCTTTTTTCTGGTTACCCAGTGCTTAAGGCAAGACAGTGACCTCAGGCAGAGGTAGTTTTGATAGTTCGGAAAGTAGAAGGCTGTGGTTCCCAATTCTAGTGCCGTGAATTTTTTCTGTTGGATTAGCCCCCTTAACGTTGCTAAAACTGATTGGAGCTGGGCCTTCTCCTGTTGTGGTAACATGGCTAATCTCTTTATATAAATAGAGTTAGAAGCAAAGTGTGGGCAGATAGAAGTAATTCCAATAAATCAAGCTCCCTTATGGAGGCTTTATTTTTGCTGTTTGCAAATTATACATATACATTTTTAAAAGATTTCTAAACATATTTAGTTTCAGACCATAAAAATGCAGAAAACTATATTGCTTAAAGTGTCATTACTACTTTGTGATGTTTGAAATCGAGCGAAAGGCTTGGCAGGTGATTTGGCTTAATAAGTAACTTCAGAAAAATCCTATTATAATATGGGTATTAGGATATGAGATTAATACTTGATTATAGGCTAAATCATTTCATGCCCAGTTTTTAGTAATTTCTCTGCTTTGTAGCCTGTGACTTGACCAGTAATCTACTGAACTCCATGTTATGATTGGATAGTAGGACTCTGCTATATTTCAAGTCCCTACTCTATATAACTGTGGCTTATGTATTATATATTTGTACTCCAAGGGAATTGCGTTTCCTTTGACCGTGTTTAATGGGTCAACCTAGAATGAACTTCTTGCTCTCTTCCCTGAGCAGTGTGATAGAAGCCGAGGTCGTGTACTTATGCATGCTTGTCGTAGCCGCCATAGTGGAGTGCTTCTCAGTGCGCCCCACCCAAGTGCCTCTAGTTGGATAGATTGAACTTCTACTGAGAAAGTGACCCAGCATTTTTGAAAAGAGAATCACTCTTCCCAACCAAGGATTTCAGAGGAGGGAAGAGGGGTAATAGTTGAGTGTCTACTATCTGTGGAGAGCCAAGCTGGGCACTAAGAGGAGAGAATCCACAGGGTCAGGAAAATTCCATTACCAAACCTCTCATTCCATAAGGATAGAAAAACCCATGCAGCATATCCATTTGTTTGAAACCTCTGTTGTTTTTTTAAACACAGTTAAGCATAGGTCTCCCTGTATCTCCTCTTGGAGCCTTCAGACCTTTCCCTGTTGGCATCCAGAGTGACCTTTATAAACTTAAGCCTCGGGGCGCCTGGGTGGCGCAGTCGGTTAAGCATCCGACTTCAGCCAGGTCACGCATCTCTGCCGGGTCCTGCGGAGCCTGGCCGGGAAGTCTCCACGCCAGGCTCTGGGCTGAGATGGCTCAGAGCCTGGAGCCTGGGCTCCCATTCTGTGTCTCCTCTCTGCCCCTTCCCCTGCCATGCTCTTTCTGTCTCAAAAATAAATAAACGCTGGAAAATAAAAGAAAAAATCCTAAGCCTCTACTTCCCACGTCTCCTGTAGTGCTGGAAAGACCTCAGTGGCTTCCTCTTGGACCCGGAATGCAGTACAGGGTCCTCCTGGAGCTTCCCATGCCTGCCTACATCAGCCGGGGCTTGCTCCACCCTGCCCTTGCATGCCCAGCCTCGGTGGCACAGGCCCTTGTGACTGTCAGGAGTGCTGAGCGCCTTCTTGCTTAGATCTTTGCACTTGCTGGTCCTTCTGCATGATGTGCTTGTACCCAGATCATTACACAGCTTCCATCTTGTATCATTTAGATCTCACCTCAAGTGTCACTTCCATGATGCTTTTTATAGACTCTGACTTCATCCTGTTTTTGTTTTTTTCGGGCATTCATTAGTCTCTGGAATTATTTTTTTTTTTAATTTTTTTTTTTTTTTTAACGCTTATTTATTATTGAGAGACAGAGAGAGACAGAGCACATAGGGAGGGGCAGAGAGAGGGAGACATTGAAGCAGGGGCTCCAGGCTCTGAGCTGCCAGCACAGAGCCCGATGGGCTCAAACTCACAAACTGCGAGATCATGACCTGAGCCAAAGTCAGATGCTTAACCGACTGAGCCACCCAGGCGTCCCGTCTCTGGAATTACTGTATTCACTTTCTCTGTTTCTCTCTGATCATGGACCTTAGAGAGTAGGGGCCATGGGAGCAAGTACTCCAGCCTTCGTATTCACGGTGGTGGCCCCACAGTGCCTGGCGCCATAGTAGACACTCAGAAATCATTGATGAATAAATACCTATTTTTAAGAAGCTTATAGACTTAGTCCGAAAGAATGAACATGTCTAAAAGTGTTGTGTTCATAACACAACACATAAAATAGTAAGTTTCCCATGAAAGGTACAGGTTGCATTTTATGGAAGTTCAGAATAGAGAAGCTGGAGGAGTCTGGGGCAGGGGACAGTTCTGAGTGGGCCCGTAAGATTGAAATGTGCCAAAATTGAGCAGAAAGCAGGAAGAGCTGGTGGCACAGTATGGGGAAGCTGAGGGGAGAGACCAGAGAGGATCTGTACTTGTCCAAGTTAGTGGCTGGATGAGAGGGTCAGTGAAGGGAGCTGGGGGCCAAAGGCCTGGAAGGATGGGTCAGGGCCTCAATTGGAGGGCTTGGAGTTTCAGGTTCAGGTCTTGGACTTTATTTTCTAGGCAGTGGGAAGTAATTGGTTTTCTCTGAGTAGACTCATGACATGCTCATGGGAAGAATGCCATTCCAAGATCATCTGAATTCTCTGTGCTGCCCATTAGTTTATTCCTGGTCAGCTTCCTTTTCCATGCTCTGCAGTGTTTAGTCTACTGTCTTCAAATCTCCTATCCTTTACTCTGATGGTGTTATGCTTACTTCATGGAAATCGTTATCATCATCGTCTTCCTCTTCCTCCTCATCCAAGTCCTCAGCTTTGGTGCCTCACCTGGCCCTGTATCTACATAGATACCCTCCTGTCACACTGGGAGATTCTCAACTCCTGTCTTGCGCTAATCCCTCCACCTGTGCTCTAGATCTGGTCACTTCCTGTGTCTAGGAACCACCCTCCATCAAAATCACCCCCTCTCATATGGTCAGCCTCTGACTCTCCTATGAAGTTATGCTTTCTCCCTTCCTTTGTGTCTGCTGCCATCATGGAGGGCATAACTGATCACTAAGTTGCCTGGGCCACATTCCTGGACTTTTTAATCATTGCCCCTGTCTTGTGTTAACCTCGTATGTCCAACCGGGATCCGTCATTATGACTCTCAACTCCATTTAATCTTCCCTTTATCGCTACTGCTGCTGAAAGCCACCAACATTTCTCCCATGACTACTGTAACTTCCCATCAGCTCTGTCTGGTTTTGTTCCTTTCAGTCCATTCCACATTATCTAGGGTGATCTTGCAAATAGGCAGGTCTGATCATGACTTCCCTGTTTAGGAATGTTTATTGACAGGACTTTGCTGTCAGGTGAATGTTCTGATGCCATGATATGCTCCAGCGTCCCTCACCATCATCATGGATGCCAATTCTTTTTTTGTTTTTTTGTTTTTTAATGTTTATTTATTTTTGAGAGAGAGAGATAGAGCACGAGTGAGATAGGGTCAGAGAGAAGGGGAGACATAGAATCCAAAGCAGACTCCAGGCTCAGAGCTGTCAGCACAGAGCCCGATGCAGGACTCAAACTCACTAGCTGTGAGATCATGACCTGAGCCGAAGTCAGATGCTTAACCAACTGAGCCACCCAGGTGTCCATGGATACTGATTCTTATGCCTGCTCCTTCCTGCTCTCTCGCCTCCTTGCTGCCTTACTTAACCCTGATACTTAGCATTTAAGCTAGGGTCGACTTCACCATTCGTCCCCCTTTCTTTGTGCCCCTGACCCACCGTAGGATCTATCTCCAGACACAGAAATCTCCTCGTTACCTACCTCAATTCCCCTCAGGCTGTAAGTTCCTTGAGGGTGGGAACTGTGCTCACTTTTTTCCTTGTGTCTATGTTAGTATCTAGGAAATGCTTAATAGGCATTTGCTTAATGAATAAGAGAAGACTTAGGACAGGTGACCCTTGACAATGAAGAAAGAAAAGGGCGAGGGAGCATATATAAGCTAATAAAAAGTCACAGATTGCATTGTTGACTGAGTGCCATGTGATCATGTTTCTTCCCCCTTACTATGATTTTGAAAACAGAAGGAGTTAAGGTGGTAATTCTTTGGGAGAATTATTTACAAGCCATCTATGTGACTATTACTAAAGTAGAACATGAAACAAAAGGACCACTTATTAGATCAACAATCCCTTTTCCAAACAAAAAACAGCTGTCAGGGTTACTCTGTTATACTTGTTACTCTTTAACTAGATAGTTATAGACCAGTTCTTTAAAAATCATAGTATGAAACTCCATGTGTGTTTCTGTGTGTTTAAAATACCATCTATAAAATGTAATAGGAACCTGGGATATATATATTGCTGTATAATCTAGATCAAAAACCAAAGAGAGTAATAATGATCAGTCGTTGATTCTGGATTGGCCACACCATATAATCATGCATTTCATTCGAGTAGATATAAAAACAGTATTTTATGTGTTCCATTTTATCCACTATCCAGTATGCTTGGGAGTTTCTTAGCCATGGCTTAAAACCATTTTGCTTATAAAAGTGAAATAATTTATATTCCCGACCAGTGCATATACAAGGAGTACTGCCTTTCCCCAGTTTTTATTCTTGAATTGAATACACACACACACTTCAGAGATTTGAAACACGTATCTGAAATGGAAAAGTCACATGTTGCCTAAGAAGATCTATTCTTAAATTAGCAACATGATATGTTAGCTTTGAGCTAATGGGGTATTTAGTATGAATTATTTATGGAGGCATATTGTTAGCCTCATGGTTACATAAATTGTCTGTTAATTACATTTAAACAAATGTATAAAGGGCTTAGTATGCTATTTTCTGAGAAGATGTGCTGACTGAATAATTTTGAGGTCAACTTGAAACTCACAAAGTCTTTCTTTGGCAGGGCAAATATATGGACATTGAATTTGATTTTAAAGGCGATCCACTGGGAGGAGTGATAAGTAACTGTGAGTATTTTACTTGAATCCTTTCAAAGAAGTTCAGAATAGCAAAACATATATTAGAATATTTTAGATACTTGAGTCTTTAAGAGATAGATATAAGAATACAATTTCTTTTTCTTAGACAATGTGTTTCAGACTATGTGTTATGTTAGACTGTGATTTCAGATTGTTTTAGCATGTCTAAGTCTTTTTTAAAGATCACTTAAAGTCTTTGTCTTTGAAAATCTTTAAAAGTTTGCTAAAGAAATAAGAATTAGTCCAACCGTAGTTTAGATTCTTTAGGTCTTTAAGTTAATTCATTAACAAAAAGGATCCTGCGATGGTTCATGTCTTTAACAAAATTATTTCATGATTAAAAATAGAATATAAATATGCGGCACCTGGGTGGCTCAGTCAGTTAAGCATCTGATTCTTGATTTCAGCTCAGGCCATGATCTCACAGTTAGTGAGTTCAAGCCCCTTGTCAGGCTCTGTGCTGTGTGCCTGGAGCCTGCTTGGGATTCTCTCCCCCACCCCCACCCCCCGCCCCTCTCCCACTAGCATTCTCTCTCTTTCTCTGCTCTCAAAATAAATAAATAAACAATTAAAAAAAATAAAATAGAGTTTTTTTTAATTTAATAACTTTTTAGTAACTTTTGGGGTAACATTTATTCAATAAAATGAGTGGACCTGTACTTCAGATTTTATTGTGGGAAATTTTGTTTGTCTTGGTGTAATTAGATAATTAAAATGTGATAAACCTGGTGGGAAGAACTACAGATTTATTAGCCTCCCTTAGTCATGATTAGTGATTATGGAAGTGAAATGTCCTTGTCAAAGGTGAAAAAATGAACAGCCCCAGGTCCAGAGTTTTCTAAAGTGGGCGTGATTGTTGTAAATATGGCCCCTTCTCCAGTGACTTTGAACCTGCAGTACGTACGGCACTGCCCTCATATTTCTGCTCGTATTGATTTCATAGTTGCTTCATTTGGAAAATAGGAAATGACAACTTAGGGTTTGTGCACTTCCTCCCGGAACCACAGCCTGGTTATCCTCTTGAATCCTTCTATGTTTTTGAGGCCGCACCACTGAACCTCCCATCACCGCTGGCCTCCTCACCACCTATTGGAAAAAAATCTAAGTTTGCACTAGAAAAAAAGGTAATAAATTGACTCAGGTGTCCAAAACAATGCCCTTTAGATTTGTTATAGCAGTGGCATTCTTCCTTCAGATGAGATTGTATGCCCGAACCCCAAATAGGAAATAGAGGAAACAAGATCTGATCTGGTAGAGAAGATGAGTAACCAGAACCCCAGAACCCCTCTGGGGGCCCCTGAGATCTTTGCTGGTGAACTTGAACCAGAGGAATGCCATTTGAAAATTAACATTTTAAGTGATTTGAGGAAAGTGTTTAGCTGATTTTTTGTTTTTAAGTTTTTAAGTCACATTTCAGAGAGAAACCTAGGGCTAGGGTTTCCTTATCTTTGTGTGTGTGTGTGTGTGTGTGTGTGTGTGTGTGTGTGTGTGTGGTTTTTTTTTTTTTTTTAATGTGGCAGAGGGATATGTTTTTTAAATGTTTATTTTTGAGAGACAGAGCACAAGCTGTGAAGGGGCAGAGAGAGGGAGGAGACACAGAATCCGAAGCAGGCTCCAGGCTACAATTTATCAGCCTGGAAGCCAGATGTGAACTCGAACTCCTGAACTGTGGTGTATGACCTGAGCGAGAAGTGGGGCTGGCTGTGAGCCACCCAGCCTCCTCTAGAGTTTCCTCTCTTTGAAACAGTGGGATTGAAGTGGAGGAATTCTATGGTTCTTCCCATTCCCACTGTTCTGTAGTTTTTACATAGTTTGATTTTCTATTTTAGTTTCCACTTTGTGTGCCATACATTGGGATTAAGCCATATTTTTAAAAATATATACTTGTCAGAGAAACGTTTGAAGAGAATCTTTAATGTGAAATGAAACTGGCTGCTTAGGTTAAATGGCTTTATGTCAAATATGGAAACAAAAAGTATTCATGCAAACCATATATGATGTAACCAGAAGCACTGATGACCACCCTTGTAAGCTTTCCGCACAACGTCTGGTGGCTCATGATAGCTGTGAAGGAAAAAGGATTTGACCCGGTTTGAAGACCACCGTTTCAAGGAATGCTTAATTTTTATTCTGAAAGATATTTATATATCTTTAGCACTTTTTACAAGACAGATGAACTCTAGTTATTAATTTAACAATACCCTATTTTTAAAATGAGGGTAATAATCTAAACATTGTGGAATGACTGAATCAAAATTGCTTTTGAGGACTCTAGGAAAATATTTAAGGATTATTTTATTGTAAGTATTAGAAAGTAACTTAGGTTTTACATTTTGAAGAGTATGTTCCAAACAGAAATGTCTTCCTGCCCCTGATTCTTGCAGTATCCATGGAGAATAAATATTAAACACTCCTTTCGTTTCCAGTTAAGATTAATATATCCTCATGAATGGATTTTTTATGGTGTTCGTTACCATTTGTTCCCACAATGAAATTAGATGGAAATTTGTGGTAGTGGGAACACCCTGTATTTTAGAGTACCCTTTGCTACAGAAAGGAAAGGACTACATGCGTGTTAAGAGCAGGAAATTTCACCCTATGTACATAGAGCACTGACTCATAGGTGGTCAGTGGGAGTTGCTGTCTCCGGGCTTCAGGGGTGTAAAGCAATGGGCAGACTCATTCTTGTTCTCTCTAAACTGCCAACAGTTAGCTTCTTGTAGTCCAGAAAAGAGGAAAAGATTTGCCATTTTGTGGGAAGTCTATTTTGCCTCACCTTCCAGCAGCCGTGTAGTAACGGTGTAGATCATCGTTGGTTGTACTTAATACCTGGAAGAAGACACGTGATCAGCCAAGCTAGTTGGGCTCCCTGCGAGTGGAAGAGAAAGTCCCATAACTTACTCTCTCTTTCTAGAAGAGGGATGCTTGAAAACCTAAGTCTTGAACTCTCCTGACAACTGTATCTCTAAGGTTACTATTGGTAGGCAAGGGGCATTATGGAAATAGAAAATGGCACCCATGCTTCAGTAGGGAAGATAAAATGTGGAAGCACAGTTAGCACATCTTATTTTATGAGGTAGTATTTCTGCTACTTTGTTAATGCTTGTAGGTGTCATACGATTTATACATTTGCGTTTGAGGATTTTGGACCTAGTGTTATGAACCAGAAACTTTTGGCAACCTGTTGCTTTAATTAATAGTCTAGGTACTTTCTTATAGCTGTGGCACTTGATGGCAGTTTTCGCTGTGAAGAAAATGTGAGAAAAGTCTGGAGGGATTTTATCTCCTAAAAGAAGAATAGCACTGATAGATACGCTGTAAAAAAGCCTTATGTTTCAGGTGTGCATATATACTTGTCCTTATAGTTTAAGGACAGGAGGTATGGCTTTCCTGTTCACAAGAGTGTATGAAGAGCTCGTGTAATATCTGACACACAGCAGGTGCTCAGTAAATCCAGAACTGAAGATGGAATTGGTTAAATATAGGCAGGCCCTACCTTTCCCTGCTTCATTATTTGGGGCATATCTATGAGGCTACTTGAACAACTCTTATCATGTGGTTTCTCATGTCTAAACAACGAGACAGTAAGTTACTTATTTCTCTGTGTCTCCCAGTTTTTCGTCTTTGAAATGAGGTAGTAAGAGTACCGATCTCATAGTGTTGTGAAAAGGTGTACATTTTTTAACATCTGAACTCTTTTAACAATGCCTGGCACCTAGTAAACATTCAGTAAATGTTTACTTTTTCTCGTCATTACATACTTACTTTCTTGTTGTCTCTAGCCCCTAGCCAAATATATGTCCTATACGGACAGAGACTTAGTTTGTGTGGTTCATTGCTGAATGACACCAACCAAAATAGCGTCTGACACCTAACATATATTTCTTGAATTAATTAATAAACACAAGTACACAGGAAATAACAAGTGATATCGCTGTGACATAGACAGATTTATCAAGAAATAAAGCTCCTGCTTTATTGGGTAATTTTATCTGGAATATTTAAGACAATTTTTTATTGAGATAGAATTGACGTACAGCATTATGTGAGTTTCAGTGTACAACATAGTGATTTCAAATAAGTATTGCTAAATGATCACCACAATAAGTCTAGTTAGCATCTGGCCACCGTACATCGTTACAGATACTTTTCTTTCCTGGTGATGAGAACTCTTAAGGTCTGCTCTCCTAGCAACTTGCAAATATGCGGTACAGGATAATTAACTATAATTGATATGCTGTGCAGTACATCCCTATGGCTGACTTATTTTATATATCTGAATATTCTATGCTATTCATTTTTAAAGGCTTTTTCTAAATCCCAGAAAGGCAACAAAATTATTGGTATTCAAACTTTATCTGTCACTGCCTTCTCTTTTTGGCTTGAAAGAAATACTATCCTGTGAATTATGAAGGAAGGCAAATATTGAAATTAATTTGTTTCCCACTTATCAATCCACCCCAAATTTAGTAGGGTGTAAAACAATGGCCCTGTCATAGGCGGTTGGACTCTGGGGATCGAGAATTCAGGTAGGGCACACTAGGGTTGGCCTGTCTCCCTGATATGTGGGACTTCAGCTGGGAAGACAACTGGTTGGGTGTGACTTGCATGAGTGGATGTTGGAGTCTTCTAGAAGCTTGATCGTATGTCACACGTCAGGCACCTGGGCTAGGATGATTCAAAGCATGTGCTGAACTGGGACTGTTGACTGGAGCCACCTACATGTGGCCTTGTGTGGTGTGGGCTCTCACAGGTGGCTAGGTTCTGAGAGAGAGTGTCCCAAGAGGAAACATCCTGCAGTAGTCTGAGAGATCATACAGTGTTACTTCCACTGTACTTTATTAGGTCAAAGTAGGCACAAGCTTGCCCAGAGTCAGAGGTGAGGCACGTAGGCCCCACTTCTCAATTGGAAGAATGTCAAGTAATTTGTCACCGTTTTGTTTTAATAAGCTCCAATCTGATAGATTTTTTTCAGGAATGGTTACAAT